CACACACACACACACACACACACACACACACACACACACACACACACACACACACACACATATATATATATATATACATATGCATTGCGTACGTGCTAGATCTTTAATTATGGTACTCATTTCTAAACATATACATTTCACAGCCTTCCATGCGACACCGTACCACAATGAGTTGATGTCTACGCTTATGCAGAGACACTCCCAAGGTGACCTATGTGTACTTGGTGGACGGGGTGTGGGAAAGAGCGCCCTGATTGAAGAGCTGGCACGTCGATTGCACTATCGCGTGGATGTGCTGTTCATGTACAACGATATGACCGCCAGAGATTTGTTGCAGCATAGGGCGACTAATAGTATCGGAGATACGGTGAGTGTATGGATGTGCATGTGGGTTGGTAGCATGGTATAGATATGTACCAGCGTGTATATTATATGAACTAATACGTTGTATATATACGTGTATATGTATAAGTATAAGTACTCGTTTGTCGTATATGTCCAACTATAAGTATGTTTTATATACAATTACTAGTGTATTGTATATAGACGTACACGCTTTTATAGGTATAAGTATAAGTATGTTGTATACATACGTACAAGCTTGTTATATGTATAAGTACTAGTATATTGGATATGTACAGTTACTGGTATGTTCCATTTACACGTACATGCTTGGAGAAGTGTACGTACTTTTATGTTTACGCAGCTACAGATGTATACGAGTTTATGGTTGACAAACGGTCACGTCTATCTATCAACCACAGGTTCGTTAACAACAGTCTTAGACCGACTGCTCGCAATAGAACCACTTTGGTATCGCGCGCAGCACACTCTACCACTTACAAATGTTGGGTTTTAGGAGATTTTTATAGGGTTTTTTTATAGGGTTTTAGGGTTTAGTTGATCACTCTAAAAATGGTGACGTAAGGTTAGTCAGCAATCACTTGACACCGTACGCTACCAGTGTAACTGTGGTCTGGCCGGAAAAGGCCCGACAAAATCTGGTTTACTTAACGTTTACGCGCAGATGTATATCATAGTATGAGTATGCAATCAATTGATCCCATACTCTTACCCCTGCTGTGACTGACCGGCCTGACATGAATTGTAGTTTCCAATGCGTCTACATGTAGGCCTTTATCTAAGTACGAGCAATCAATTGATCTTGTACTCTACGGGTTTGTCTTTGTTCTGACCGTAAACCCGACTAAACTGTGTTGCAAAACGTATACGTGTAGGTGTGGAGACCTTCGCCTGTGATCACCGCTGCGCGCGAGGGCCACATGCTTGTACTCGACGGCATACACCATGTCAATACAGGTAACAAATATGGGAGCTGAATGGGCCGTGTAAGGGTGTGTATATTATAAATATATATGTA